ATTGTATTTTTAATTTATATTTTTAAAATATAAATTAAACAAACTTTTGTAATAATTAGAGTATAAAATGGGAGCCTTATTTTGAGCCGAGGTGTCCTTACCCCTGTATATTTAGTATAATAGAAAGACACATTTAGGGTTAAAGGCTAAAGGTTGTGGCTTTTTTTTTTTTTTTAGGAAAAAGCATATTCTAGTGCCCCTTTAATCCTCAAACACTCCCTTGCTTTCTTCCTATTTTTTGTCTACTATTCCAAGGACAAAACAAAAGGCACAAACCCTTGTTTTAGAAAGTTGAGGCTTCATGGGGAGAGAGAAAGAGAGAGGGAAATAATAATAATAATAATAAAGTTGTGAGCTAAAGAAACGGTGCAGTCCCAAGTTGGCTGTGGGGCTGCGGGCTGCCCCCAAAAGAAAAAGGTTTAACCTTGAGAAAAATTAGATCAACAAGGAATAAACTTTATGAAGTACTGCATTAAACTATTTATAATTTTACCATCACTATTTAATTAAAAAAATATTTATTGACAATAAAATTTTAAAACATAACATAACATAATTTTTTAAACTCTTTAATTCGGTTAGATGAATAAATCTTTATGTATCAATTCATTTAATATTATATGAATATTATTGAGATTTACAATAAAATTTTATGTTGTCAAAAAATTGAGATATTTAATTAACTTCCTTGAAAAAGGTTTTTTTTTTTCAAATTTTATTTTTTCAAGTTTGGTGAGAAGTTAATAATATATTTTTCTAGAAAATTTTGTAAAATGAGTTCCAATAGAGGAAGGTTTTGCCTTCAAAATTTAAAGCCTTCAAAATTAAGATAAAAATTCTTTTACATTGTGAGTTATATCACTATGGACAAAATTAGGGTAAAAAATACAAACTTTATTCTTCATTTGTTAGGAATAATATGCAAAATGTAAATTAACCCCCAAAATAACTTTTCCAAGTAAATAAATCTCTCATAAAACGAAAATTTGCTGCTGAATTTCTAAAAACACTCAATAGAAATCTCTCAAAGTTTATTGAAAAATGTATTGAAATTTGATGTGGTAAAGATAATATCTTCAGATTTTCCTAGTTAAGGGAACAAAGCCTTCCGTGTATCAAAATTGAAAAAATAGGAGAATATTAATTGGGGGGCAATGTGGTGGGAAAATAGGAGTACAGGGACTGTAGGAGAGAGTTGAATGGAGGGCGGAAAGTGAACTAGTCAACGGAGGGACAAGGAGACAAGGTCACGTGACGCTACTCTATGTTAGGCTGCCACGTCAACCGACAAAGGACGCGTCTGACCGGACAACTAAACTAAACCTCTCCTCGGTTTATGCCAACTTTCAGTCCGAGACAGATTCCCACTCTTTCTGCATCGGTTCCCCACGCGCTCTTTATACGCGCTTAAAGTTAATGCTACTCCCCCTATCCTAAAATAGTAAATATCTTTTTAGTTTTTAGTTTGTTTTTAAATTATGAATTTAAGAATATTTTTTATTTTTATTTATTTTTTAAATAAATAATTATTTTAATAAAAAAGTGAATCATTAAAATTAAAAATAATTATAAGATTAAAGTTAAAAAAATTTTCTTTTAAAATTAAAAAAATTATTATTTTAAACTAAATTTTAAATAAAAACATATATTGTTTTAGGATTATTGTCTTGGTTATAATATTAAATTTCCCAATACTCTAGTATTAAATTAAATTTTCCTTGTTGCTCTATAGGGTTCTACAGCATTTGATAAAACAAATTTATTCGTTATAATATTTTATGTAATAAATTATTTAAAGTTACATGCGGAGTTAGTCGAAAAATAATTATATAAACAAATGATTAGAAATGAAGGAAGTATCATAAGTAGTTTACATATTGTAATTGTCTCACTTATTAAATTGAAGATTTTTAATTAATTGTATAAATTTTTATATATTATTATTTTAATATTATTCTTTTTACTTTAATTTCTTTATAGAGATGAGAAAATAATTGTAAAATTTAAGTAAATACTCTTTGAATTAATTTCTTTTTATTTTAATCAAGTGTCTTTTAATCTACTAGCTCTAGTCCACCAATAAAAAATACCTTACAATTTTTGAAAAATTTTCCCTTAAGTCTACATTAAACTCTTTGACTAATACTAGAGGTAGAGAATAACTTTTTGTTGGCTATGATTGTGGTATTTTAATCTCTAATTTCTGTATCTTATCTTTAAACATTTTTATATTTGTGTATTCCTAAAAAAAAAAACCTAAATATGACAAAAAAATAGAATAACTTTTTTTTGTTAATAAATAGTAAAAAATGATACAAACATAATTTTTATATTATTTAAATTATTAATTTTTATTTAATAATATAGAAAAATTATACCCAAAAAAATTGTGTAGAAAAATTAAGTCTATGCCACTGCCATGGAGGCAGTGGGATACAAGATAAAGAATGGCGAAAAAGAAAAAGAAAAAATCAGATAAAGGAGCCGAAAGTATGAAGAGCGTGGGGCAATCAACAGCGACCGCCCTTTTTCTGATGCCTTGACATCAATGAGGTATGCATGGTACAGAACAGAATTTCTTAAATAGACTAGGCCACAGACCCGCAAAGGCCTTGGTTACACCACT